CGAGTTGTATACGTTGTTAGTTAGCTCTCGTCCTGTGTTTGTTGTTTTTGTACGTCATTTGTGAGATAGCAGCAAGCGGCACGTTTCTCTCTGCTAGCCGTTTTCAGCATTACATTCCAAGTTATTGCTATCACATTCATTGATTCGCCCTTGCGGAAAAAACTGCCTTTTTTGTAATCTGACTACAAAGCATTACCCAGTAAATGTTTGTTGATAATTCAGAAGAGCCTCTCGTTACCTACGGTCTCCTTATAAGAAGTACCTGTGCGTGCTTGGGAAGTTCTATGTAATTAAAAAAACACTACACTGAGTGTACCATTTTCTCTAATTTTCTGGTCTCCTCTGGCATCCACAAACAAGCAAAACTGGATTTCGTTGAAAAACTGACTTTTTACTCAAGTTAAATCATTTTACAATGGCGGTTTTATAAGCAGTCACAGTGAATGCGCCGGAAGGAATTGCGGTGGCTCTTCCAAAAAAGCATCGTCGCACTGTTTTAGTGCATAAAACTGCCGAACTACTCTTGATATGGCAGTTGTGGCGCAAGTGTGGTTCGTTTTTACTATTCATAATATTTTCCTATTTATACTATGTTAATATACATATTATTCATATTTCACGCTACATCCAGACTCGTTATATCTCGTCCATCATCGAGAGAAGTAGGCGAGCAAATCAGGTACGTTTTCTTCTTGAAGTGGTCCGACCGCACTTTCAACGTGATAGTGTTCGAGCTCGTTTCGCAAAAATTGAGGCGTTGGCGTCGTTGATTGTAAGGAAATAATCTTGTGCGTTACCAAAAAAAAAATGAGGACAGTTTCGAATAAAAAATATAAAAATCCTGGGTCTCAGTGGGGATTGATCACGGGTCGTTCACGTGGCAAGTGGGTGTTTCATCACACACATACGTGTCTGCTTATGAATTGGATTGGATTGGATAAACTTTTATTTCTGCTTATGAATGCAGCGAAAGTAACTTTTTCTGCTTGGAAATGCAGTGACAGTAACTTTCATGCTTGACAAACACACGCGTCCTGTACACATGCTTTTTATTACTACATCGAATATTGCAGTATTAATGTGTGGTATACACATGCACATTGCCATACTGGGCGTCCGAACAAGATAATAGAATAATAACTTCATGGTTCAAAGGTAGGTCACGCATTACAAAAGGCACACACGTTACAGCGCCTATTCCCTTAAGGCCACGTAGTGGGTTTTCATTCACATAGTGCTTGGCATAGGCTTTATGGACAGGATATCGCTATCTCGTGCAACACTTAAAGGTGAAGCTTAAAATCGATGATGATTGATAGGCCGGGTTTAACGTCCCAATATGAGAGACGCTGTTGTCGAGAGCTCCGACAATTTCGACCACCTGGAGTTCTTTACCCTGCACCAAGATCTGAGCACAAGGGCCTACAGCATTTTCGCCTCTATCATCTATGCAGCCGCCACTGCCAGGATTTGATCCCGCAACTTGCGGATGAGCAGCTCAGTACCTTAGTCACTAGAAAGCCATGGCGGGACAGGCATAGTTTAGGAGTCCCTCGAGCTCTTTCCACACGAAAAAAAAAAATGTTGCTGATCACTATTCATAGCTTCTGATAACATAGGGAACAAAAAGTATTAGGTCGCACAAACACGAATTTGCAAAAACAGTTTCAGATGGGCTAGAAATCTGTCGTTCTTCTCTTTAAAATGATGCCACATACAGAAAATCAAAAGCGTCATCTACTAAAAAGCAAACTAGTAAGGTGATTGTCTGGTTTGAGGGTTCTGAGCTACATTGTTTCCAAGGCAATGGCGGTGTGCTGCCATATAGGCTAAGAAGAGGTAAAGTCAGACATGAGACGAAAGGTGACATTTAAACTTTGCCATCCTCTGTAGCTATTACAAATGTATGTTTTCGTTTCTCTTTTTCAGTAATAAGTGCTGGTACTTGCCTAACTCTAATGTGTAAAAGTAGGCTATTACTCACAGCGTTTTCGCGGCGAAAAATGCTCTGCTAGTGTCAGTTTATTTAGTGACCTGCAAAAAGGCGTGAAATCCTGCTCAGCTAAATTTCGGATCCGTGATTGATGCAGCTACGGTGTCACTACAGCAACATAGGCATTTATTCTGTTGCTTTATATTACTACCTACATGGCACCAAAAGTTTAGTTCATTTGGTGCCCGGAAACAAGGCTGAAGTGATTTTCAATTCGGTCATGTGAGAGGGGCAAAACGCGACAAGTATAGGCATCGAGTTGGCTTTGAAAGTGTCTTATTAAGTGGACAATTTACTTATCAACCTTAAATATTATATTTATTTGTTTAGGAGGGTTAGGATGTACAAGAAAATATTTTATAGAACTTCCTTTGAGGAAAACGACTTAAAAAAGCACACACTGCTGTGCAGGAGATGACCTGCTCTTTTTGCTTGGCATCAATGTTTGGCGTTCCCAAAGATGCTCTTGAGAGGCACATGAAAAACTTCAAAGGATCTACCAAGCTGTTCGGAAATGGCCTTTGGGATCTAGTTTTGATAACATTCCTGCAATCCTGAAGTTAAAAAAAACAAGCGCTTGAAAATCCAAATCTAGCAGTTTCAAAGCTCTGTTGACGAAGTTGGAAACCACAAAACGCCCGTGAAGTTCTTCGTCGAAATGGCAAAGAGACAAAACAGATGCGTCAGTATCAATTTAGCCTCCAATTAGTGAATAACACAAATGAGTGCAGGCGTTGAAAAATTAAAAAAATAAGCAAAGTAATGACGAGAACTGTTTGATACGCAAAGAGTTTGGGAGCAACATGTCTCAGGGTTCTGTATAATTTCAATGCCTCAAGTTCAAGGACTGAGCTTACGAAGACAACGTTGGGGTGCATGGAGTAAAGTTAGAGCGTTTCTGCAGAAAAAACTGCATGTTTCTCACACTGTCTTGTTTCGTCCCACGCAGAATCGGGTTTCGCCCCACAGTTGGGGTCAAAATAAGACATCTGATGAATTTTTTTTACTTCTTTATAAATAAACTTTTGAACAGTGGCAACATGGCTAAATTTATCTAGGACTTATCTTGTACCCAAATAAGAGTTTCTGCATTGATGTATTATTGCCATCAGTAAAGTACAGAAAAAATATTCGCTATTTTCACGTTCTTGTCGCATTTTACCCCATCCTACCTTACCCACGCCATACTTAGTTCTAGTGCTCTCGTAATCAGTAAGCCATGTAGTCAAGTAAAATGACAAAAAAAGTACTCTGGTTCATGACGCACTCTAACCCAGTGGTGTAGCTCCTTTCTTCATTCATAGTTCCCCTGCGCAGCTTTCAAGCGTGCCCGCTGCGACAAAAGAAGACGCACAGTACTCAAGAGTAATCAAGAAATTTCTCTAGCTTCCTCAATACTTCAGAGATTGTAAATATTGCCCTGCAGCTGAAAGCACTTGCCATCAACGTCGGTGCAACAGAAGTTAATGTGGTCAGTTGCTGATCTGAAGCTAACGGGTACTAGCACAGCCGCGGTAGTCACACCTTGATTGAGGCGAAATGGTGGAAGTCCATGCACTGTGCGAAGTCTGTGCACGTTAAAGAATACCAGATGGTCAAAATTTCCGCAGCCCTCTACAACTGCGTCTCTCATAACCATGCTCTTGGAAGTGCAACCCCAATAATAATAATAATAATAATAATAATAATAATAATAATAATAATAATAATAATAATAATAATAATAATAATAATATATTATATTATTATTATTATTATTATTATTATTATTATTATTATTATTATTATTATTATTATTATTATTATTATTATTATTATTATTATTATTATTATTGAGGTACCTCAACGCAAAATTTTGGTCTGTCTGTATGTCGGTCGACTACTCTGTGTGTCACCCTAAACGGCTCATGTTCAGCCATATCCGCACCACCCACCAAAGCCGAACAGGTTTCTGCGTTCATACTTGTGCGATTGTAGATTTTAAAGTAACTATTGTGCATATATGAGGCGCAATATCAACACGTCAATAGTACATTGTGTGTTCGATTGTGCTAGAAAAGGCATATATAAGTAGTTCTAAAGACTGTACTATTTATTAGGGTGTGCTGACAGTGCGATGCTATGTACAAAAAGGCCACAGAGTTTCTTAATATACACTAGAGGGAACCCTGGCACTACTGTCTACGGGAAGTGCAATGAAGGGCGCTTCAGCGAGCATGGGATTGATGGGTAGTACACACATTTGTTTAATCTTCGTACTTCTGGCCTGCTTTTGGCTCCTGTGTGTGTTTGCGTGGCTTGGAGCTGTTTTCTCACGAAACAATAGTCAGCAAATGTTCAGCGATATCGCTTTACCACTTTACTTTTTAGACTTGCTTTTCCAAATCGAGTCATGAAGTTCAAAAGGTTCGAATGTTTTTTTTCAGAACAAAACAGAAACACAAAAGTAAACAAAGCGGCAATTACGATTCACCACCCGCAAGTACCAGGACTAGGCAAATGTGTGTACTACCCATCATTCCCATGGTCGCTGAATGATCGCAGTGACAGAGTCACGTCTAGTTAATTTTAGGAAACTCTATAAAAAAGGCAAGATGTTTTTTTTTTACGCTTTGCTAAGACGATATGGTGCTGCCACCTACGTTGCCATATACAAAATGCATCCTCTGAGATTCCATGCGTACGCCACGTGCTCATGATATCTGTGGCCAGCCTTTCAAAGTTCTGGCATTAGTGCCAAGTGGTGCTACTGTATTATGCGGCGCCTCCACTGGCCAATTTTATCGCCCAAAACACCAAACAAACGTTGTATTCGCTCTCCAGATAGAAGACTATCATCTTTTGATAACATTTGCAGTCAAACACGCCGTTATGGGGCCAATTTATTATTATTATTATTATTATTATTATTATTATTATTATTATTATTATTATTATTATTATTATTATTATTATTATTATTATTATTATTATTATTATTGATATTATGCCGTACTTGCTAGCTTACCTGCAATGTACGAGGATTGGTGGCTGCGAGCCACCTCTCGGACCGAACATGCCTTGGCAGGTACGCACAAACTGCACGAGTGTCTCCGGTTTTTCCGGAGTTCCATGGTCCTTCCACGCCGTGAAAAACACGTGGCGTAGGCTACGCCACTTACTGGAGTCGTCAGACTGCAAGACGAATAAAATCACAGGGATGCTACTAATCTCCAACAACACGCTGCTTTGTATGAATGGTGACGTTGAGGCTCTGCGAATGTGCCAAGTCGATTGCACATGTTCTAAAACAAAAGTTTCCTTTGATGTCTCACTCGCTATCGCATATCCGCAACAGGCTTGCAAAATATATGCTTAGTTCTAAGACTATATGTGAGTTTTTGTGCGAACAATTGTAGCGCAGTAGCGCAATATATTGTTGCTATACATTTGAAGGTGAAAGCCTTACATGCTTCATCATGCGCATGAACTTACCGTCGGTGTCAATATCCAACGATGCAATCAGAAATATATAGCACTCAAACGAAACAGACAAAGTAGGCATACATACAACACATCACGCGTTCTTCTGGGTGTGAAGCACACAAAAGCACCTGCACTGTTTTTCTGTGTATCTTCTTTGTCTTGCATAATTCAGTGCCCTTCATTATTGAAGGATATCAACTATCCAGCCCAGAACGTATTGTAGTGCGATAATGGTAAGGAGCTCATTTCGCAGAAATTCCAATCATCGTCGTCAGCGGCGGCGTCGGGGTCGTTCGTTGTGAGCGAAAAGTCGTCATCTTATGCACGATTGAAAAAATCGAGAACGTTGCAAATAAAATTAATAAATGATATTAAATTCTGGAGCAGAGTGGTGACTGAACTACGTTTGTCACATGATGTGTCATCTCAGAATGGCCATATCTCATGACATCCCTGCTTGGTTGAACAAATGCTCTCCTTCTGGAAACACGTCGGAATTCTATGGGCTGCACAAAGATGCAATGCCTGGGATAGCCGAGGCGACACAGAACAACGGATCAATACAATTGGACAGAATTTGCCAGCAGGGGAGCCACTGCAGGCAAGGGGGCTTTCGACACAGGCACTAAAACAGCGTCTTTTTGGTGCGTTACGAAGTTTCAGTAAGGGAGGCTCATTGTAGCGGCTTCACGGATTTCATTCATTCGGGCGCCATATTGTGGCCTACAATAGCTTACAGCAGCTATCTGCTTACCGCTGCCATAAATGTCTGTTCTGTTGTGGTTTTCCCCTATAGTCCTCTTTGGCAGAGAGAGAAGTGAACATGAAATATTTTAAAGCTCGCCTCACACAGATCCCTCACGTTACACAACTAATTACTGGAATGCTTAGCAAACAATCATTACCTAATCTCTCTAAAAATGATTGCTTGACTAGTATTTTGGGGTCAAACGTTGTGCGGAAGTGAATGTAACATTGCATATTTTGCATACCACGTGCAGTATCAGCTATTAGGCAATGCTAAATTGCTGATATTAAGCGTCATATTCACGTCATCTTTTTCGCACGTTTAACATTCAAAGGAGCAAAAGAAATTGCTCTAATGTTTATGGCCGAAGGCGCTTCTTTTTTTATTGGGTATTGACAAGTTCCAAGATGTAATGTGTAAAGTGAAGTCTCTTTTCAACTAACAATTTAAGATTTTATAAAGAAGTATCTTAAAAAGATTGGCGGCAAATCTGCATGCTTCATCGACAAAGGTCGTTGAAAGCCGACAGTCTTCAATCTGGAGAGACCTAGAGAGAATACAACGTTTACTTGACCTTCTGTGCGAGAAAATCGGTGAATAGGCACTGTGTAGGATATGGACGCCAACTGGCAGTAATTTGAAGAAACAGTTTTTCTAGAATGCAAAGCCACTGGCAGGGGACAGTACGGTGTAGTTTTAGTTAAGCGCAGGAAACACCCGCTTTTTTGTTATGATTATCAGATCGGTAGTGATGCATAAAAACAACTATGGTCTGTAGAATTAAGTAACTATGCATTTTAAAACTAAACATACTACATATTACTAACGTGTTGATGTTGCGCCCGATTATGCAGAATCTATGTTTTTTATTGACATTGTTGACTAGTACGAACGCAACCAGGAGATCATGACGCATAATCGCTCAGGAAGTGGTTAATTTAGCTATCGTTTCATTTACTGAATTTTAGTGACCGATAGAAACAGAGAGACAAGTAGACACACCATATTTCCACGTCGAAGTATTCCATGAAAGCCTATCGTCTTTTAAAAGGATCTAAAATGCTGGTCTACCACGTTTTGCTGTGATTGTGCTGTGTGTTCGGCGCTGCGTTGACGATTTTTTTCTCTTCCACAACGTCGCATTGTCAACGCCGAATAACATACATGACGGTCTTTAGAGTTACCGATCTATGAATGTTCTCAAATGAAGAATTACGATGCTCAATACATACGTAGGGAAGTTGCATCTCAGATATGCGTTACATTCGCTTTTTAATTGAGAATTCACACTCGTAGAAAAAACTAAACTAGATAAAAATGGTTGGTCATTGAAAAAAGGGTTAAACTTTCATCATTTTACTGAATCGGTTGACAGAAAGAAGCAGAAACACAAACAAACAGATAGAACGACAGATCAAAATTTCACGTTTAAGTATTCCTAGACTATTGCCTTTCAAAGGCACAGTATTTCGATGATGAGAGAACCTGACCAGGCAACTTTGTTGACTGTGAGGAAATCGTATGAATTTTCCAAAGTACATCTCAATCAATGCTAAAGTAAGTGCTGCATTTTATACTAGTTCCAATTAAAGTGTTTTAAAAATGAACAAGTACAAGTTTTTAGCAAGCTTCGTAAAGAGTGTAATAATATTGCACAGTTGTGATTTCGTATATATTTTTGAACCCATCGAGGTGACCCCGTCGATGTGAGCCAACTAGCAGGCACACTGTATATTTCGCTTATAGGTAACTGAAAATTTGTACTTTCTAGAGGGGGGGTCTACGAACCACATGAAATCTACCCCCAATGTTTGGAGGTGTGTGCACAAAAAATACTGGTTGTCATAATGTGAAATATATTGTGTGACTTCACTGTGAAACATGTGTCATTGTAGATGAGGGCCGATTCAATATAGAACTGTAATGTGTGTGAAACCTGAACCATGCTAAATTTGGTGAACAATGTTTATTTTAAGTATTCCGGCGTAATTTTCGTCAATCGGGCGTCATCTAGTGTTAGTCCGCGAGACGACTTTGTTCTATGCCCACAGTATAATACCAAGTACTCTAAATTGTTAACCAGTTTTTGTAAACGCATAAGATCTAAAGCCGTTTATAATTTAATCTAAACTGAATACTACAACTTACTTTGATTCGAAATTCAGTCAAGTGAAATCACTCCTTTCCTTCACTGAGTCCATGCGCACTTGTACGCTTCCGTATGCATGTTCTTTGTTGTCATCAGGCCAATACTTTTCACACTTTTTCTGTATTGGGGAAAAACTCATTTACTAAGCATCACAGCAGGATCTTTCGAAGGAATAGTTTAATTTTGTTGTGGGCACCTATAAGTCTAGCAAAACCAGTGTATGATGCAAAGCAGGGTAAACTGCAATATAACTTCAAGAAATCTTGAACCACATCAATACCATCAGCTTATAAGCAGCTGTTACCGGACTGTGGTTTGGCTAGAAATGAACAGTCTCCAGAATTTAGCCTTATTGTGTGGGAGATGTTCTTTTATGTAAAACGTTTAACCTGTTGGAAACTGCCTCTTGTACTTACCATATTGATAACTGAATATCTAGCGGTATGGACACTGGTACACGAAGATTTCTTAGCGATCATTTCTCACATATCAACAGATATCTTATGAGTTGTGGTATTTTTTTTGTTCGACGGCGAAAATTCATTTGAACTGGAGCCAATGAAGAGTGGGATCGTGTGCGAGAAGCTGAAATATTTAGAGAGGAGGTTTTATGAGACGTAGGCCAGTAATCTATTCGACGATGACACTATTGTGCTGGGATAGGATTTTTTTACTAGACTATCTTTTTAAAAGCATTGGTAGTATATACTGCACTGTCATATCCTGAAACTTACCCTGCACTTTCAGATTACTATATAGGATAACAGGCCTGAAGTTTCTTGTTTTCCAATAGTGATTTCCTTATTCAAGTCTAAGTGCTCTATTTTCTTACCGTGTGCGATTGTACGCATTTTTATGAACAAGGCTGGTGAGAAGGGTAATGTTTATTGTGATTAGCATTATGTCATTAAGGGTTTAAGGAAAAAAGAAAGCCTTATAAATATACATAAACCTTTAATACCCTATATTTTTGCCTTTTTCATTGCTAAAGCTCACAGCACTAAGTTAAATCGCCTAGCAATTGTTCCTGTGTTTATGCAACAACTGTATATGTAGAACACACATAAATGGCCAACCACAGTCTTCGAATTAGTATACAATTTTATTGTAGTTATGCGCATGATGTTGTGAGCAAGCGATGTATCAAAATACACTGACATTCCAAGCAAGTGTACGCGTGCTGCTGTTTCTGAAGATTTCTAAAGAGAGAATTGCTGAAATTACATGCAGCTTGTAAAAGAGGCATGGGTTTTGCACAAGTACGTCTTTTAAGATTTTACAACGTGTAGGGGGCAAACCAATACGAGAATGCTTTGTGTCTTACCTTGTTCCCTTCAACAAACTGCGTGAGCATGATAATTATTTTGACATCATGCTCCCAGATCATTCGCCAAAAGTCATTGACAGTGAGGGCATTGGGTCCCTGTGCAGCGATGTACTCTCGCTCCGAATTAGCAACCCTGCAAGATGTGTGACGGTACGATTTGCATATGCTGCATTCAGCGGGTAGACAAAACTTAGTCATCCAATAAAGGGAATGCAGAACCCTGCAAGATGTGTGAGGTACGATTTGCACATGCTGCATTCAGCGAGTAGACAAAACTTAGTCATCCAATAAAGTGGATACAGAAAGAGGAGTTTAAAAGAAACCAGTGCTGCTCTACTATGAAGAATAATTATGCTGGTTGAATCAGTTGTAACCTGACCTGAAACAAAATTGTATAACCTAGAACCCCTATCGCACCGGCTGTTTAATGTGTGGTATCACCAATACACTCTGACATACTATTTAGGTGTGTACGAGGGATTATATACTGATCAGTAGGATCTGTTGCACTGGCTTGTAGAGTGTGCAAGTAGCTTTTATTTTGAAACGATAAGGATGCCATGCTGTGCACACTGTATTTTCCACAGGTATTAACACTTTAGGGGAGAAGCTCTTTAAAGTGTAACCTTGTCACATGTCACACGTAACCGAGAGATGATGAGATGACAAAGAGAAATGGATCACGCTATCTCGCCTCATTTTCTAGATGGCGTTACTCTGACACTACGCTTCGAAGTGCCGCTACTCTCAGATTGGCTGCCAAGTGCGCGCTTTGCCTGAGTGCGCGAACGAGTGCCTCTCTGTTTCCTAGGTAGGTAGGTTGTACGTGGGGGATTGTTGGTGAGGCAATGGACGGAGCAGAGCAGCGGCGCGTTGAAGACTCTTGCACTCGGCTTCCTTGGTTCACGTCTTGTCGGTGTTATCCACGCGCCATCTGTATAGTGTGCGAACGAGTGCCTCTCTCAGTCTTCTGGATAGTCGCCGAACGTGGCGGATCGTTGATGGGGCATGGACGGAGCATGGCGGCGGACGTATTGAAGACGCCTGCGCTCGGCTTCCTTGGCTCACGTCTCGTCGGTGTTACCCGCGCGCCGTCTGCATTCTCGAACGCGATGGAACGCAATCGAACGCATGGACGCATGCATGGACAGATGGACACACGGAGCGATGAACGGACCGACGATTCGCCGCACTCATCATCATTCACTGCGTGAATATGCTATGATTTTTTTCAAGATGATTGAAGGATGTGTTTTACTTTACAATGTTCCCAAGGTTTAAGCGTGCAGCTTCTTACCTTCACAAAGCTTGCGTTGATGTAAGAGGACTGTTCATCCTCGCCAATCATTGACAAGGGCACCCTAGACTTGTCGACTGTATAAAATTAACAAAATATGTACAATTAACGCAATGTGCTCAGAGGCGTTCAGCAAAATATATTGCAAATGTAGCAATAAGAAATATATCCTAATTTGAAGCAGCAATCGTGCAACTACTAGTGAACAACCTGAGCAAGAAAAAATATTGACTTTTTTGGCAGATAGGCAGCAAAAAAATTTAGTGAAGATCGCAAATGAATTGAAATCAGATCTTACATGGATGAATATTTGTGAACCGATTTTTCTTGCTGTTCGCTGGATGCCTTGCAACGTCAGAAGGATACTGCGGACTGAGTTCTACTAGCCTCTGAAAACAAAATCAATAAAAAGTTAGGACATTTTAATGCACCTATTCATGCTCCTATGGAAGGATCGATTATGTACAAGCTGCCGTTTTTACCATGGGAATATAAATAAAAGCACACGGAATCTTTAAGGAAATAGTGGTTTTATCACAACAATGAGCAAAAGTTTGACGAGATCGCCATATGTTTTCTCCTCCCTGGTAGCGTGTGCACGCACTGTACAAACCCAGGGAATGCACTAGAACCATGGCTTTTAAATGAAAGTTACCTCGTATTCATCCGCAAACCTGTAGGCCGAATCTTTCATCATCATTTCAAGGTGGCTTCTGAACTCCATTTTGGGTATAGGCCTGTAAAAATGAAGGAGAAAAAAACTTTCCTCAAGAGGCAAGAGGCACTTCATTCTGGCATCATCTATGACATTTATGCATCTGTGTGACCTCATCATCAAGCAGCATGGCCATAGAGCAACGTTGTTGATTCACTGCTGGACTTGTGGAAAGGGGCAGGGCAAGAAACGCTAGGATAAAGAATCGCCGTAGTTGCTACGAGCGCCAGGGGCATCAGCTGTGGTTTGTTTTTCTTGTGATCTTGCGCTGCCGATTCCTAACAAGTAGCGTAGCCAGTTCATTACGCCAGTACTAAACCTCATTTGCACCTAGAAAGACACAGCTATGAGTATGTAGAGCCGCGGCAGAAAAAAAAAAACACTCACACAGAATGTCCGGTAGCCTCATCTGCGAAATCACGACACCGGTTGCTGTTGTTACCAAAAACAACAATTGCGGGAGTGTCAAACACATTTCATTTTGCAAAGGAGGTGTGGCAGGCAGAAAGCAGCCCAACGGAACAGCTTTTCCGTGCGGATGTGTTGTAACCTTGTAAGTTTCAAGAATGTACCGATGAAAAAAAAGCTTTTGCGAAACTGTGTTATTTGACTCGCTGCTCTTAAAAATAAGCGCAGAAGAATTATAAATTTGAAAAATTGAACTGTTGCCTTAAAATTCGATCGTAAATATGTTCGTACTCCTGATATTTCGAAGTTCTGTAAGATTAGTGCAATGAAAATATCTGACTGAAACTACTTTCAATAAGATACGGGGCATCCACAGTTACAGAAATGTACTAGAGACGTTGTCGTTCTCGATACAACTAAAAAAAAAAGCTTTCACTTATCACGAGTACGTAACCGACCACTCATGCAGTACTCATCCGAGCGCTCATGCTGCACTCAGTCATTTTAATACGCTCGTTTCGCGAATGTGACGAGACATACGGTGCCATTTCCAAAAGCTTCGTGGAAGCAACAGTGGCCTTTAAAACAACCGGATCCAATTATGTATCGTTGTTGATAAGGATGAAGTCAAGGTTTTTCGCAACTCAACCAACGCTTTGAACAAAAAGAAAACACCTTCATAGGCAAGTGACAATGCACAAGCATTTAGTTTAGATTTGGCCTTTCCGATAAGCAAAAAGCGAAGTTATTGGCTTCCTAGCGGCCACAGCTGTTCAAAGCCATGAAATTCTCTTGGCCTTCTGGATTTTGACGTGCCAGAAAACAACAGTGCAGCCTGTCAGAAATTTGCCATCTTGGCAAGCGGTAAAGTGTGGCGATTTTTTTTTTTTCAGATGTGAATTATGTATAGACTGATGAAGCAGACATACCCATGTGCATTATCACGAAAAAGAGGAATGGAAGGGCACAAATTTATAGCAATTGCAATTGAGCTCATGAGGCTGACATCCAGTGCAATGCAAAACGATCAACCGTGTGCGTGCTGTCGGCTCAAACTCATAGCGATTACATAGACCCGACCACAGACTCTGACCTTGAACTTCGACCCTAGGCATCTTCACGAAGTGAACTAAGATTCAGTTTACTTCAAAGAAAGAAGGTTACAGGGACTAGTACATCACACATGCTCTCGCATCTTCTATCCCATCCTCGCAACTTAACTCGTCTCAGCCGCTGCGAACTTTTTAAACTCCGATGAGGCTCTCCCACATAGTAAAAACGAAGGATGAGAAAAAAAGAAGAGTAAATAAAAATTTCATCCAAGGCGGCACGCATTGGAAAACTCGGTGGAACCCATGTGGTAGCACAGTTCTACAATGCACTTCACTCAGTCACATTGACTAAAAAAAAGGCAAGCAACGAACGTAGCCGCCGGGTGTATTCAGTCACTATGCAATCCGAGTCGACATCATTACTGACTGTCGGTTTGGCTTGACCATGGCTTAACCACGGAGCGCCCATGCAAACATGACCCCGGCCGTTGCGACACACTGGGGCCAACTCGTAATTAAAGGAGTGGCGACTCGGAATGCGTGCGGAGCGCGGGAGGAGCCATGATATGAAATGGGCGTTTGAAGAACAGCGATTACCAGCCTGCCACCTCTCGAGAGATGGCATCACTTCGCTGCACCCAGTCAATAACTTTTAACGTCTCAATTTACTCAAGTGAGTGTTCCGCTATCGCCGAACGTCCCATGCCTTTTTTGCGATCGCTTCCGCTGTCTCCCGTGTGAAACACTTTTGGAATGCCTGATGCTTTACCTAGAACCTTTCAGTAAAAGAGTCGCTTGTCGTGGCACTTCTTTTGAGAGAGCACCACGCATTTCAGTAGTACGACCCATTTTCTTTGAGTTGCATGCAGACAGGTGACGTTTAAAAAAAGCTTAATAGGATGATGTTCAGTAGCCTTGATCAAGCTTCCTATTCTGCCCACCTCCTATGGCATACCACTACATTTACTTGGGCTATTCAACTTGTGACGTAATTTCAGAACTGCGCGACAATTGGTGCAATACGCTGCACAGGTACGCCACCAGCAGCATGCGTGCATGTCAATGGCACACCAGCCAAAGAAAGTGGGGTGCACCCGTCAGCCTTGTGTCTTAAATGTGAAGCATTTCTTAGCGAAATTCGGTGAATTTGAGCGTATCTATCTATCTATCTATCTATCTATCTATCTATCTATCTATCTATCTATCTATCTATCTATCTATCTATCTATCTATCTATCTATCTATCTATCTATCTATCTATCTATCTATCTATCTATCTATCTATCTATCTATCTATTCGTTGATGACTTTGTCATATCATTAATCAGATTTGTACCAATTATGGGATGCCAAAGTTAGGCTGTATGTACCACGTAAATACAAGGTCATAGCATGAAAATCATGACGAGCAGGTCTTGAGCGCCATGATTTACATTACACAATTTCGGGGCTCTTGCAGCTATTTTGTTTTTATTTGTGAACAATTGTGTGTATCTGTATAGTTTCCTATATTAGAGCAGGTCATTTTCACAGGTTCCTGGTGTAGGGGTCCTTAAAGGCTCGAAGGTTGCGTCAGCAATAGCACTTTCTTGTTGTTTGGCATTTAGGCAGCATTGTACTTTTTAGTTAGACATTGCTTCGTTCTTTTGAGTCACTCTTTCATTTCTTATTTACAGACCAACACTATATGCGGTTATTTTACAAGAATGACAAAAAGAATAATAATTTATCATAATCTGAATAATAATATTACCCTAATAGTCATTAGAGTGCCTAAGCATGGTCACCATTTATAACATAACCATTACTGCACAAAAACAGGACTTCAGCCCACTCTAGTTTTCACGACAAAAACTTATCCGAATCAAAACACTTTTACGCTATCCATGCTATCTGTCAACGCGATTGTAGAGTTCTAGTTTCTCAATTACCTAGACTCTCACAGTCACATTTTATTGTGATTACTTTCTGAATGACAAATAATCGAATGTTAGCTTTAGGTAAGCCATGGCAGCAATGATATCGACAGGCTTAGCTTTCAGCGTGGTGATAGATTAGACAGCCATGTGGCATTAACGTCGATTCCTTTACAGCGGTGGTTAATGTAAAACTGCATTTACTCCGATGGCTTGTATTTCCTCAAAATGCCAAACTAACGTAATTGCGCCGTGGTTGAGCTATCTCGACGTGGTGTTCGAGAATGGATGCCCGCGATTCGCGCTTCGCATACCACGAAAGATTGTAGAATTACACGCATATGGAAGAAGCCGTTGAAATAACTTTCCGAATGGCTTCCCCCGAGCGGCCGCCGATCTCAAAGTACGGTGACAGTTGGAAAACCAGCGCGGCTCCGCAGCTTCGGGAATCAACGATTCGTGGATTCATTAAACGCACCCACTGTGGCCCTGGCCGACGTATTCGAGAATCGCCTACGACGCGTTGGCGTGCCATTTCGGTTGAGGCAGCCCGAAACCACCGGATTCCAGTTCGGAGGCTTCGAATGATTTTCGAGACTTGACCGCGAAATTACGCAATTGCGTGTAACACTTCTGGGGCTGCAGTCCCTGGCTGTCATAGGCGTACATTTCTGCAAAAATAGAATGTTATTTTCAACGGTTATGTTCGTACGAATTCACGAGGACTCTGGAATAAAATGAATGTTTGCGAAGTACGGGCGTATATGACTGCTGTAACTTGCCGTGATAAACGCTGTCGTGATGAATGAAATCAGAGTGCCAGTTGTGTTTTCCAATTAAACCACTCGGTGGGACTACCGATGAATTGGTTGAAAATAAATGCATGGTCACGCGCAAAGCTCCACACCTTATCTAGAACTGCTAATTCCAGTACAAGATAGTGCAGAAGCCAAGAAACACTAATTAACCTATATACTAGTCATTATTACTGTCCATATTTATTTTGTTGTGTTACCGCTGTCATAGAACTTGCCCAAAGCTCAACTACCTAGAAGTAAGACCTCCCAACTGACTAGGACACGAAAAAGAAACGATGACTTGGTAGTTGGTATAGATTGACCGACTGCACGTTAAAACCTACAATATCAAACAATTGCCTATCAAAAAGTAAATGTTAACGAATAAAATCAAGGTGAAATTTTATCATATAGTTATCGCACTGAAATCCCTGCCGAGGACGTAAAAATTTTTTATAAGTTTCGTAAAATATCGCGAAAAAATAAAACACAGTAGCACACAGGAGGAATGAGAAAATGGGCGCTAACTTTCAACTGATCTTTTTAAAGAGAACATGCATACAGGAAACAACTGATCACTCACAATGAGCTTATCTCATAGCAAAAATAATATATAAATACAAGCAGCGATTTTTCGCTTCCTTTCGCAAAGCCGTAGTGCCCAGAGACCTGGTTCCTTGTTGGACAGAGATAAAGGTGGATGGCTTATGAATTCATCACCTAAACTTATGGCAAGAAAAAAAGCTTCCGCTATATCTGTAGGTGAAAATAAATCTTCCATGACAGGATGTACTCAAACAAGTCCGGTAAATGTATATTTTTCTTGATACGAAAACATTTTTCCGAAAT